GCCAAGCTTTCGTTCGTCATTTGACAATTATGTTACTTATTTTTCGTTTATAAATAGGCTTTAGAGACTGCCAGCCCTCCTATAATCCTAAACGAAATATGTTAAATATACCGTACATATGTGATCTACTGGTAGTCTTGAAAGGAAAAATATGTACTACTAGCTGAGCGACTATTACAAATTAAAATAAGAGCTTATCTTGATGATATTGTTTTACACTTTACAATAGCATTATGCCTTAAACTCTCCGCTATAAATGGACACCACTTGGTTATAGTGCAGACATGAGTTTAAAATTACTTATTTTTACCATCTCAACTTTTAGTATCGCTATTAATGATGCTTTTGTGTGGTAGATCACTTCCACTACTTCGAGTATTGATCGCGCATAATTGTTTTTAATAGAGCCAATTTTCCCATTTACTTCATGGCCTTGTTTGCTGCTGCTAATTAAACTCGCTTCGTTCTCCAATTAGTCGATAGTTCTTTAAAATGACATACTATCACGCTTTTATTCTCATTAAAAGTTTATATTTGCACTTGTTCATAATGCTGATTTCACTTCTTTATTGTTACGTCTCCTACAGGCCTCGATGACAAATGTCCTTCCCATATTTTACCTCGTATCACCCCTCAAAATGAGTCTGACAAGTTAGATGCTTCAGAGGCAGCCAATTCTAGTCCAAGATTTGAGCTTGAAACAGCTGAAGATGCACAACACTGTGTGATTGATGAGGCCTCAGAATCCTCCAAGCTTCCGCTGGAACCCGACTTTAATTTATCGGGCGTCATGAGGCCGAAGGGTGATCTGATGCGGGTTCCAATTAGACGCTTAACTCTGCGGCCAGCATCTTGGAGTGATCGAATAGATTGTCTAAAGAGCAAGTATGAAAATGATTACGTAGATGATCTTGTGGTTTGCGAACATGAACCTGAGCCAACTGACGCTCCAGACCAACCAGAATACGAAAAGGCTCTCAAAGGTGGGGTAGAGGAGCATTTATATAGCTCTATTAATTCTTTATGCATAATTTCTTTGAGACTTGGTTCGTCTTTGTTTTCACAACTTGATCGAGGCGTCAGGGAGACTTTGTGGAACGTACCTAGTCCTGTATCATCTGCCATAGTATTCGTGATTTCCTGCCTCGGACCATTGACTTGATACATCCATAAAAGGTAGCCGTTCATCCCCCCCCTATTGTGAATTAAATTCTTTCATCAAGTTGATTAATAAAATTGAGAAATTCATTTAGATTTTCCGTACCATGTGACCAAAGTGCAAAGTAGTCATCCAAATATCGCATAAGCACTCTTGGTTGCAGTGGTGGCTTCAGGAATTCCATTTCCAACTTGTCCATGTACACATCTGCCAAAAGAGGTGAGAGTGGAGATCCCATCGGTAGTCCAAATATTTGCTCATAGATAGTGCCGTTAAATGTGAAATATGTTGTCATAACCTTCAGGTTGATTAGTCGTGTTAACGACTCCTTCCGCATTCGTTCTGCTTCTAGGATATCCTCTTCTCGCTCCAATATCTCCATTAAGGCGCTTATCGCCTTCTAACCTGAGATGTTTGTGTACATTGATTGTACATAGAAACTCACCAACAGTTCCGATCCCACTAACCCAATATTCTGGATCCTTTGAGAAAATTGATATGAATTCTTGACGGTATTCAAGAGTCTGTTATTTACTTTCTTGAGCCTCAAGCAAATCAATTTTGCTAGTTTGTGCATTGCTCCATGCTTGTTGTTGACTATTAGTCCTAGAGGATTCCCTCTCTTGTGTATCTTCGGTAGTCCGTAGACACTATCTATGAGCAAATATTTGGACTACCGATGGGATCTCCACTCTCAACTCTTTTGGCAAATGTGTACATGGACAAGTAGGAAAGGGAATTCGTGAAGTTAACACTGCAACCAAGAGTGCTTATGCGATATTCGGATGACTACTTTGCACTTTGGTCACATGGTAAGGAAAATTTAAATGAATTCCTCAATTTTATTAATTAACTTGACGAAAGAATTTAATTCACAATGGAGGTGGAAGATGATGAACGGCTACCCTTTCTAGATATTGAAGTCATACGCTCCAAGGGGACACTCAGGAGGAGACTATACA